GTGGCGCCTCGGGCGCCCAGCCGCCGTCATGCACCAGCGCTCCCGTCGTCGACACCACCGTGACGTACTTCTGCGGCGGCGGTGGCGAGGGTGGCGGCCAGGGCGGGCTGGCCGGCAGCGGTGCCGCCAGGTCGAGCACGTGGCGCGCGATCACCAGGTCGAGCTGGGCGCCGGCCGGCTGCAGCAGCGCGCGCACCTCGGCCAGCGGCAGACCGCTCAGCCGGCGCCCGTTGATGTTGATCAGCTCGTCGCCGCAGCGCAGTCGGCCATCCCTGTCGGCAAGCCACGTGATCGGCTGGAGCGTTGGGCAGTGAGTCAGGTGGCGACAGATGAGCGTGGGAACGTTTGCCGCAAGGTAAAGGAATGCTGCCAAAGAGATGCCCCACAGGGAGCGCCCGCACGGCTTAGTGTAGGATAAGTAGTAAGTTATCTGTAGATAGTGTGGAATGAGAGACATCAGAGTGACCAGTGATGAATTATCCTGACCCAAGTCTTGTCGGCTGTATTAATCGCGGCATCGGGCAGTTTCATGAATATAAACGCGTGCAGACAACTGCACTGTCTGGTGGCATCTAATTAGTGACTTTTCAGTCCATTGTCTGTGGAGACTCGCCCGATTTAAGCCTTGAGATGACCCAGTGATCTTCTAATTCTGCTTTCACGGAACAGTCCTGAACAACCCGCACCCCATCCTTCCAACAAAAAGTCCCAGGCTCTCTCTTTTATCTATCGCCGACCACAACGCAAGCACGTCCCCCCCCCCCCCCCCCCCCACCCAAATCCCCAGCCTTACCGTTCCGCCAATCCGCCGGCCTCGATTTCGCAGATGCGAAATCCGCCGCCGCCGCCGGCCGGCTCGGTGCCGTCGGCGACGGCCACGCCCAGCCGATCAGCGCCGGCGGCAGCGACCCTCAGCAGCCGGAACTGGCGGCTCGTCACAGCCTCCAATCTCGCCGGCAGCGAGGCGGGCGGCGGCGCGCCGGCGTCAGCCGAGGCGCGCCGCTGCGGCTCCGGCTGCGGCTCCGGCGAGGCCGGCTCCGGCGGCTCGTGCAGCGCCAGCCGGTGATGCCGCAGGCCGCCGCGGTCCAGCGACGCCGAGCGGCGGTAGCGGCGGCCCCTGCCAGCCGCCTCCAGCACGGCCAGGCGCCGCGGTCGCGTCGGCGGCGTGCTACTGCCGCCGCAGGCATGACGGGGCGTGGGCGGCGGCGGCGGCGGCGGCGGCACCGGCAGGCGACAGGACAGCAGCGAGCCGCCCTCCGCCACATCATCAACATCACTCCTCCAAACAGGCTCTCCAATCGGCAGTCGCTCCTCCTCAGTCTCCTCACAACTCTCCTTCACCGTCAGTTGAGCCGTGAGCTGCTGCTCGGTGGCGTCGTCCTCGCCTGCGGTAAAAACAGGACCACCCGGCAACAGCTCCTCCCTCGCTACCTGCTCCTCTTCTTCCCGACTCTCCCACACCGGCCCCCGGCGTGTCGCACACTCTCCGTGTGCCCGCCGCTCGCGGCGGCCGCCGCCCTCGCACGAGGCGCCCGAGTCGGTGCGCTGCGAGGCGAGGCTACCCGACTCCGAGTCGTGCGTCGAGCTGCCGTCCGAGTGCTCGTTCAGGATGCCGCTGTCGCTGTCACCGTCGTCGTCGGGCCGGCGGCTGAGCGGCGCGCTGTCTAACTGCGTCGCCCACAGGCTGCGCGTCTTCCAGGCGAAGTCGCGCCGCGCGCGCTGGCGCCGCCGCCGCGGGTGCTCGAGCGTGCTGGTGCCGAGCGGCGCGACCCCCTCCTCGGGCAGCGCCGAGAGCGCCCCGCTGCCGAGCGAGGCCGACCGGCCGGCCGCCAGGAGGCTGATGTTATCACAGCTGAGCGCGGCCGCCGGCGCGCCGCGCAGGTCCACGCCCTCGCTCGGGTCCTCGGCCGGCACGTACGTGGACAGCAGCGACGTGGAGCGGCAGCGCAGCAGGTTACGCCCGCCGCCGGCCCGTGCCGGCTTCGGCTCGCGCGAGCGCAGGAAGAGGTTCTTGAGCGACTCGACGCGGTCGAGCTTGACGCGCTCGCCACCGGCAGCCGCCGTCCGCTGCGGCGCCGCCCCGGCCGCCGAGGCCGCCGTGGACGCCTTCTTCTTGCGCGGTGCCGTGAGGGCGAAGGCGTCGGCCAGCTGGTTCTGGGAGTCGGCTCGCCTCAGCTGGTGCCACCTGTGTCCCACCAGCCGGCTCCACGTAGAGAAACCTGCCCGACGGAGCGGCCGCATTACGACAAACCCACGGGCTTTTGGCGTCTCGTCACACAGCTGCAGGATTCCTCGTGATGGGATCCGTCAGAGGACATGCACATAAGACGCTTGCAGAATGGCTGTAGATTGGCTGTGGTTACGAATGTAGATTGTCTGTGGAGATAAGCGGCTCAGCTGTGCGACAAAAAAAAATGTGGGGCTACAACATCGTGGATATCCACCAGGGATTACCTGCATAACGCGTCGCAGGAAAAACTGCGACCCTCATGTGACACGCCTGGTTTCACTCAACCCAGCATGCTTGAATCCGAAGCATTAAGCGGAGGGGATCACAAGGCCGTGAAACAACTGTGTGTATCGGAGCGTGCCCGATCGCGCAGCTCTTCTCAGCGGGGAGGCGGACGCAGAAGCCGTCCGTGCCGCCAAAATAACGGCGTGTGTGCTCCACACTACCTCCGCTGAGACAGTCAGAATTGTCAAACTTAAACCAATGCATTTTTCAACTGCGACGTGCGTGCGACGTGCTAAGTTCTCAAGTGCCTACCGACTGTGTGGCGGCATCAAAAGCTATGAATCAGCATCAGCCACAAACATGTATTAATGTAAATCACGTCAACGCGTCAGCCGTCAAAGCGGCATGCGTCTGTTCGGAAGGGGGGGGGGGGGCGGCTAGTACATGGTTTCATAATCCCCAGGGCTTCTCACAGGTCTTGAGGACCTACTGCAGCCGCTCAAAGTGCAGATAGAAACGCTCGATCGGCGCAAACACCGCACAACGGCGACACCGAACGCGGACAGAAGCGCGCGGATTCGGGTCCTTCACAGTGTGCCGAAGTGACAGCGAAGGCAAAACGCTCCCGCAGAAAGAACGCTCATCCTCTTGGACACGGTTTAGAAAGTACCAAGAAGAGCAGGCGAGACTGAGAACTGGCACAGCAGGCCACACGAGTGCCGGAATATTGCAATTCGTCTTGCGATTCCGACATACTGAAGGCATGCCGTTTGTATAAACGAAAATGGTGGAAAGTGAGAACATTCGGAAAATGCTTAAAACTGTACATTTATATTATAGAGTTTGAGTTCTGGAGCATAGCGGGCTCTCACCAACGGTCCATTGCATCTAAATTCGTAAAATCACTTGTTCATACATATTTCACTTGAGCCGGTACGCATTCAACCAAGCTCCTAGTATTATTCCAACCTCAGACCACTTCCTGGATCGTCACACCGACACGCTACTTTTACCGCTTGCGTTCTCTGTCATTCATTGGACAGGCCTGTGAAACTGGCCACACTGGTATAAGATATAGAGTCGTGTTGACTCGCCCAGACGAAGATGCGTTCGACCTCGTTTTATCCTGAACTGATCCCACGGTTATGCCCACGAACATCTGCAGCGGGCCCCAATCTATCACAGTTTGAATCGATGAAGTGCTCAAACAGATTAGGAAGACGCTGTTTAACACACAAGTGGAACCCACGCGCACAGATACTGGGTCATTTCCTGCTATTCATGAAACCTGTCGCACGTGATAACTTCGTCTGGAATTTGGAGCGTGCATACGTTTGAATGAGGAGCATTAGTCCAATTCGCCCTGTTGCTGATTCATCTGTAAACGGGAAGAACATCCACACCGTTCCTGCACGTTAGGAGAATGACCCCGTCGCTTATCGCCGATGCAGACAAGACGAGAAAACGTATTCCACTACGACCAAGGAGACAACAATGAAGTAGTCACGTGGCTCATGAACCGTTCATAAAAGAGGCAATTGTCAATCTTACTTGTTGGCTTCTGCCAATCGACGTGTAGCGGTGTAAACGCTGCACACAGTTTAACGTGGTGGCCTCAGAGACGACTGGCACATCAAAGAGACGCCTGACCGCCGCCCCGGGAGCACAAGAGGCCGAGCTGCGTCACCCGTCCAGATACCAGCCCGGCGTCCTCTCGACCCCCAGCGTCAGCGCCGCCGAGCAGTCGGCGTCACCCGTCCAGATACCAGCCCGGCGCCCTCTCGACCCCTAGCATCAGCGCCGCCGAGCAGTCTGCGTCACCCGTCCAGATACCAGCCCGGCGTCCTCTCGAACCCCAGCATCAGCGCCGCTGAGCAGTCTGGTCACCCGTCCAGATACCAGCCCGGCGCCCTCTCGACCCCCAGCGTCAGCGCCGCCGAGCAGTCGGCGCCGGCGTGCTTCCCTCACCCGTCTTGGCCGGTGGTGGCGGCGGGTCGGCCCGGCACTCAGGCGGCGCCCTTTCCCCGGTGTCGTCTCCCTCGGGCGTGGTCGGGCCGACCGGCCGCGTCGGCTCCGGCGGTCGGCGTAAGAAGGTCCTCATGCCGCGCCGGCGCCGGCTCCGGGACTGCAACAGGCCAGCACCAGTCAGCGGAGCACGGTTTGGGGAGTGGAGCCGGACGGAGCTCGGCGCTCGGTCATGCGAGGCGCTTCCCGAGTGAGCCTCGCGCACCTCGACGAGTCCCGCTGTCTGAAACTGCAGGGACATAGCCAGCCCGCGGTCTGGGGCCAAGGCTCGAGTTAACACGGGTCACCCGGGTCAGCTTACAAGTGGTCTGCGAGGTCTTACCCGACAAACGACCCCAACACAAAGGGTGTTAAATGCGCTTCGCTTTCTCTGCCACACCTCATCGTAACCTTGCATCGGCCGACGTCGCGATCATTAACCTTCAACAAAGGTATCCACTCAACAGCGCCGCTGCTCCGTCATACACACAGGCCCGTCCGCCGACAGAGTCGTCACGCCCGGGATCGGGACCCGGCGTATCTGCACCGATCTGCGGCCGGCGAGTGTCGGTGCGCCCGCACCGGCCGGCCACGGGCAGCATGCGATGCCCATCTCCGCGCGGCTCCGGCGAGACCGGCGCCCGGCTCCGGCGTGCCGCAGCTGAACGCGCGACCCCGCCGCCGGCCGCGACCTTAATGGCCGACGCGCGGTGGGGAGCGGTGCGTCCCTCGGCTGCGCGGCCGGTGGGGCGCCTGTCGACACTCCTGTTCAAGAGCATTGGAATGTTCGAGTTACAATATGTGACATCGGGAGTCCTTGCAACCGAAAACACCGTTTAGGTGCATTTCATCGCTAATCTATTGATTGTTACCGCTACAAAAGTCGGTATGTAACTGACATTCAGAGCTGTGACTGGTCAATATGTATGCATTGTTACCTTTTGAGCACATTTTTCAGAGGCATCGTGCACTTGTCCTGTGCCCTTGGATGTCCTTAACTCCGCGTTACATATTTTGCCGGACTAAACAAGGCACGAGCGCCGCCAGCGTTCCGCCGTGCCCGGAGTTCCCCGAAAGCGGAGCGAGCTGAGGGGCGGGGCGCAGCGGGGCGAGTGACTACCACGGTCTGCGCAAACGGCCGTCGGGCGCCGCCGCCCGTCGCCAGCCAGTCGGACGGCGGTCTGGTGCCGGTGCAGCCCCAAGGCGGCGCAGAGCTTGACGGCCGGCAACGCACGCTACCCTGCCAGTCCAAGTAGCCGAAAACAGTCGTGCGACCTAAAATGGGGCTTGTGGGCTCATTCCAATCACAGCGCGCGTGTACCACACGGGCATGCCACGCGGCGGCGGTTGCTCGCACGCACGTTCTCACGTCCTCGTCACGTGACCAGCTGGCTCGGCACGCGCGTGAGAGGCGCGACTGCTTTGCCCGCGCTAATCAAGCAAGGTGCGATGCTTGATTTCAAATCAGCTAACATTTGTTTACGGTTCGTCAAATGGAGGCAAGCGCGAGGGCTTGCACATGCACCTCTGATGGCTTGTGGCCGACGGCACGGCGTCACAAGCCCGTTCTTATCACCTCTCGAGTCGGGTTCGTACGTCGATCTGTGTTGCTCAGTGGCGCCGTCAGAGCCGGCATCCTCGACGGTTGACCTCAAATCCGTCCTAAATATCGCCTCTTGGCTGCATAAACTGCCAGCTCGCCCGCTCCACTGAAACAGTATAGGTGTGGCATTCGCAGCTCTCGTGTCCCACCCACGACTATCGTGCCCCACTGTGTCGGGACATGTAGAAAAATACCGGGAGCAGTAGGGACCAGCGGGAGTGCCTCAATTACCTGCAAAAAAAAATCCGACAGAAGAGACACGCAGGCACTGTAGGCGCCAACAGTGCTACTTCACAACTGTGACGTGTTTTCCCACACACTGACAGGTGACAGGCGGATGAGATAAATGTTTGGGACACCCCGGAACCGAACCACGAACGCGAGCATTTTGTTAAGTTTGATGTAGTCACCTATGCTCGGCCGCACCATGTCAGTGTGGTGTGATCGGCTTGTGCTCGTCTGGTGTCAGCGTTATTAACCGTTGTCATGGCATGACATGTTCTTGTATTTTCTTCCTGTTGTCAACGAATGAGGCTTCGTGTAGAGCACGCTGCGGAACAGCCGTGGATGGGAAAACGGATAATCTTTTCTCCTCTAGCGCCAAAGGATAGTAGATAGATAGACAAGAGCATAGATCGATCTGAGGATGATACTCACCCTCTCACCTGAACCAACCAACGCCGAATTCGACAAATGCATTGGCTCCATTTTTTCTATGCCGTTACCCAAGAACAGGCACCCAGGAGTGCTCCTCCCTCTATCCCAGCGACGCAATAAACCGTACGTTAAAGGGAATGCTCCACATTTGTATGGCGTTTCGAACTGAAATAGCCACCGTGAGGACATTTTGATGCAGTTCACGGATATGCCCTTTTTAAGACCTAAAACGCTCTGGTTCCTGAATTACACGCCCGCAAAGTACGAAAAGGCTTATTTACAGCCAACTTCAAAATCGCCTTCTGATTAATGACGCCATAGAAACGTCATTAGATCCCCGTGATATTACAGGCTGTTTTTTGTTTATGGTCAAAACAGCATGGCCGCTGATACATTCGCAAAGGCGATGATGCTGCACATGTGGTACAGTCCGCGGAAGATGATTGGCTGTCAATAAGATTTTACTGCTGAATGCATGTCGCGAACACAAGCGTGAGCAATTTCGGGTTGTGCGATACTCGTGAGCAGGCCATTTTTCCTTATTTCTAGGCCACAGGTCAATGCCATAAAGAAGAACGCCACTTCCTGCAAAAAGTACGGCAACCAAAAAAATGGGCGCTGTCACGAAGTTATAAAAAAAGAAGACGCGACGGCAAATATGCCTTTTTTCTCCTGCTGGCGTTTTTTTCAACTAACGTATCTCTTACAGACAGCTCGGTTGGCGCCTTGTGCACCGGAGCACAGAGCCTTGCACGGGTTTATGGGTTGGCGAGGCATTATGAAATTAGGGAAACATTACAGTAATTTTAGACACATATTTATCTAAGTATTTCACACATACGGTACGACAAATTTAAATCTTGAACAAAAAATTGTCTTTTACAGGCAGTTCTTGAGCCGCATTATCATGAACCCCCGGTGGGACTTTGGTTCTTAGGGGGGTCACGTTGAAGTCCGGTGTTGTGACTGAAGATCTGTGCGGAAATTGTGAGAAGACCTGCAATTTGATAGTCCTGCGAGCTGTGTAAATGGGAGAGCAGACTTATTTGACAAAAGATTGTGAATCGGGGGCTCGAAATGCGTGTGATCACTCGTGGTGTGTGCCGGTGGCTTGTATTGGTATTGATCTGATGGGAAGTGTGCGTGCGAGGTTTGTTCATCTGAGAGAGAACATCATTTGGTATTATTCAGTCAGAGAAACACTAGCACTTATATTGCAGGGATATACAAAGGCAAGTACTGGTACTGGTACTTCAGTATGATCTTGCCAAGATTTTGAACCTATTGAGGTATTACAACACGTAATCAATCGATTACATGCCATTATATCAGTCATTCATTTTGGCAGTAGGGGCTGGTGCGTGCAGCTCACTAATGGACATGCTCAGTATAGGCTTACATTATATGGCTTCGCAAAATTGTCTTTCCCTAAAAGATTCTGAAAATATAGCTTTATTGTTACTGATGCACATCGCACTGTCTTCACAAATATCGTATGCAGGCGAATATTGCTCCTGAGTAATCAATGTCCCAGTCACTGCAACTTGTGTGGGATGCTGGGTGCTGAGAAAGGTGGGAAAAGTATTGCTGCTGGTGTCTCAGACAGCACTTTATAACATGTTTATCATGAGCCTGGTGTGTACTGGCAACTTCATCACTCCCTCGCATTTTGCCCATCCAGCCATAATTACATACACTTGTCTTGTCTCCAGCCTTGTGCAAGTTCAGCACGCTTGCAGTGTCATTTCACCACATGTAAAATTTCCGTTATTTTTTAGTAAAGCAGCCTGATGGCTGCAGCATGCTGCATGGCAATGGAAGTGAGAGATGTGTTTACATCTTTTTCACCTGCGTTTTCTGGATTCCTGAAGCAGGCTGAGCAAGTGATGCCACTTATTGGTTGTCTGCTTTGCTGAAAGTGATTTGTATATTGTATCATGTGTTTTTGGTCAGTCATACGTGAGACAAGAAGTCAATACAAGAGTGCATGCTTGACCTATCTTTTCGTGCTGAAATTTATTATGAAAGCGGCATGGATTGCAGTCAGAAAAACCATATTGCTCTTCATTATGTCATGTCACAGAACAGCACTGAGGTAGCGACAAAATGAAGCTATTGATTAGTGTCATTACACAATGTATCACATTGGTTGAGTACTCTTTGTCAAGCCTTTGAGATGGCAGCTTATAATTTATGAATGACTGGAAAACAATATTTAACAATGCCAAAGAACTGTCTACGGCAAGAATGTTGTTGCACCACAATAGTTATATCTGCGTTAACTATTAATTGCATGAACAATCCTAAGCAAAAAAAAAACAATATTGGTTGCCCAACCTTACCATCTTTACCATAGCAATAGCAATGCTTTGACAGTGAATGCGTGGCAACGTTACAAATTTAGTGATTTTCGCATGACACCACATTTCCACTTACGGACATTAAGGGCAATGCTACAATTTTTTAATTTTTTTGCACGACACCCCATTTCCAGTTACAAACAATGAATACAGTGACTGTTGTACACATCACATGATATCAATGTCAGGACTCCAGCACTGCGCGCAACAATGGGTCGACGATAAAGCATCGGCAAAGTCATCAACAGCAAAGCAGCAGCAGCAGCAGCACAGCATATCGCGCTTTGATATTAATAATCTGCCATAAAAGCTGGCGATCGCTACGTTGCACATGTCAAACAGTCCACGAAAGCTTTTCTTACGGCCAGCACCAAGACAAAAAAATCCGCAAATCACCCACCCACCAATCCGCCCCCAGACACAGCCCTGCAACGAGAATGGCCGGTTGGTGTCAGCTTTTGTGTGTTTCGATGCATTCTTTTGGTCTGGCTGCCAGATGCT